GTGTTTGATGAAGGAGATTAACTGAGTGATAAATGATAAAATATCTTATTCTTGAAACATATATTTTGCTATAATATTTTGTACCCCATGTGTTTATTATTGTACCTTTTGCCAAAAGATGCCAAGCACTGAAGAGAGATGATTTTTATTATGATTGACTGTGTTCAATCAGGGTGATTGAAATGTTTTCAATCTTGTTCTATTTTTAATGTAATGAATGTATCTGAGCCCACCCAACTCTGAAGACGCTTATTGATTTTAAGTATTGACTGAAATATTCTTAGACTAATGTTAATTGGTTATCAATAGATTGATAAAAGGGTGAATCTGTAAGAGAATATTTTCATCTGATCTGTTTATAGAGTTTCTTATTGTTTTATAGAATCTGTGATACTGCAAACATCTGCTTGTAGTCAGTCAAAGACCCCTGTGTAGGTTGAGGCTTGTCTGGATCTCTTTGAGACAAGTAGACTATTGTCTCACATCTGCTACTAATTAGGTATACGCGGGCTTTCTGGGAGCCCGCCTCTCCTCGTGTTGGTTAGATGTTTTGTGTCTTTTGGGGCAGAGATTACCTTGGTGGAGCACAAGGACAGTGTGAAACTAGGATGATCTCCCGGCCGTGTGTAATTGTCTGTCTCTCAATAAATATCAGTGTATGACAGGTGAATCCAGTTTCCCTCATTTGATGATGCGCTCAACATTGCTGCAAAGAAGTTTTAACTTCACAAAGACTATATTAACTTCGGTGTTCCCACTAAAGAAATACAAATCTATCCAAGTAATACATCATATGTGACTAAGGACATTACAAAAAGTTATTAAAACCAGGAAAATAGCTTTCAAAAACAAAGACTACAGAGCACTTGAACAGACAGAGAGAGAACTGAAAGTCAAATTGAGGGAATCAAAACTGGCGCACAGAGAGCTTTTGGGAAATGCTTTTAAAGCCAAAGACCCCAAAAAAGTGTGGGACACCATGAGAACCGTGACAGGAATGACCTCTACAGCTAAACCTATTGTGAAGGACAAGACATACTTGATCCATACCAATTTGCCTATAAGCAAGGGGGTGGTACTGCTGCTACTCTGGTTCACATCATCACTAAACATTTAGATAAACGTCACACCTATGCAAGAGCCCTCTTCCTAGACTTCTCAGCAGCAACACAATACAAGCAGACATCTTGGTGTCAAAAATAGCCAAAATGGAAGTAAATCCATACCTGATTTTGTGGTATGCCGCTTTCCTCACCAGTAGAGAGCAACTTGACCAAACCCTGTCATCTGCCATCACAACCAATGTAGGGGCCCCCAGGGCTGCGGGAGTTCAGCTGTGCTTCTTTTAGCTTCTTTTGATGACTTTACTGAACTGCTGTCTATAGTGTGTTTTGACTTTGACCGTCTAGTCATTGTTGGTGATTTTAACATCCATGTTGACAACCCCCAGGACAGAGGGGCTAAAGAACTGTTTTGTGTTCTTGATAACTATGGTGGGGACCCTCTCATGACATCCAACTATAGGCCCATCAGTATCTTACCCATAGTATCCAAGGTATTTGAGAAATTGATTGCCAAACAAATCATCAATCTTCTCAACAACGGCTCCTTTCCACTACATCCAATGCAATTTGGATTCAGGGCTAATCACTCAACAGAAACAGCGACATGCTTCTTCGTGGAGAATGTTAAGGCATCAATGGACAGGGGTGAGGTTGTGGGGGCCGTGTTCCTTGACTTACGGAAAGCTTTTGACACTGTTAATCACAACATCTTATTGCAAAAAATACTCAACTTAAATGTTTCTATAGAATTCACCAACCTCTTTAATTCATATCTTTCATCCCGCTCCCAATGTGTTCAAATTGAGAACCATAAGTCTAGTGTTTGTCAACTGGAGTACCGCAGGGCTCTGTATTGGGCCCAATCCTGTTTAGTATGTACATAAATGATCTGCCTTCTGTGTGTGGAGAATGTGATGTATTGATGTATGCTGATGATACAGTTGTTTTTACTCATGGCAAAACCGCAGAAGAGGCTGCTACCAAGGTCACTGATGTGTTGGAGAATATTACATCCTGGCTTAACAATAATTGTTTGCAACCAAATGTCTCAAAGACAGTGTGTATGTTCTTCTCCAAGGGCCACAGCATTATAACAGAACAAGATGTTTTCTTTTCCGGAAGGAGACTTCAGGTTGTCTCGGAGTACAAGTACTTGGGAGTACATATTGACACAAACCTCAATTTCAAAACCCATATCAAAAAGGTCTGCAATAAAGTAAAGTTCAATCTGTCAAATTACAGATACATTAGAAACTTCCTATCATCTGCAGCAGCTAAGCTATACCTTCACTCAATGGTCCTCTCCCACATCTACTACTGTCTGATCAGCTGGTCTAATGCTCACTCTACAGCTCTAAGGCCACTGAACTAACTCCATGGTCCTCTCCCACATCTACTACTGTCTGATCAGCTGGTCTAATGCTCACTCTACAGCTCTAAGGCCACTGGAATCGCTGTATAAACAAGCACTCAGAACAGGAGACAAAAAGCCATTCCGGTATCATCATTGTCACATTGTTAAAAAGTATAATCTGTTCAGCTGGGAAAATCTCAGTTTACAAAAACATCTGCTTAGTTTATAAGATCACTCGTGGGTTGGCTCCTCCTCCTCTGGCTGGCTGCATCAGCCTAAAGTCCACCTCAACCAGGGCTACTAGAGGTGCGGCTAGGGGAGACTGCACCATCCCATTTAGGAAGAGCGCATTCAGCCAGGCTGTCTTTCATTCCACGCATCCCATCAATGGAATTCAATACCACAACCAATGAGAGAGTCCTCATCCCACTACACATTCAAGCACAGTGTTAAAAAGTGGCTCATTAATAATCAACAGTGTCAGCACTGATGTGTGGGTGTAGGTGTGTGGATGAGTGCGTATTGTAAATGTTTTATTTATTATCATGACTTGCTCTTATCTGTATTCAGTGATGTCATCTATTGTAAATATGTACAATGGTATAACAATGTTGTGGTATTTTTATTATTGCTTTTAGGATGTCAATCACCATCTGGCAAAGGGACTATCGATGAAAACTAGCCTTTTGGCTAATTGAGTACTTTTACATGTTTTTAATATGTTGATTAATGTACACTGTCCCTTGTTTCAAATAAATCAATTCAATGGACTGACTCAGCATGTGACGGAGCCTACGCACAATAAGGGGCACACTCTGGACTTAATGATCTCAAAGGGTCTGAATATCTCTGAGGTTGTGGTGACTGATGTTGCGCTCTCTGTTGATTCCTTTGAGAGCTCTATTTCTGTTCACACAAATGTTCAAAAAGAGGTAACCACAAAGCGATATTTAACTGAAAACGCTATAATACTAACTCAGAATGTTTCTTCCACACTTGCCCCTGCTAACATCTCAGTAAATGAGCTAGTAGATCATTTTAATTCAAAAATACAAAATGTTATAGATGCCATTGCTCCAAGTAAGGTAAAGGAAGTGACTGGCAAGAAAATATCTCCATGCAGAAAGGCCATGACCGTGAGAACAGAGAAAAGAGAGTGTCGAAAAGCTGAACGTAGGTGGAGAAAAACAAATCTCCAGGTTCATTTTGAAATCTATAAAGAGAGACTTGGCTTTTATCATTTGGAATTGTAAATTGCACGACAGTCTTTCTTCTCTGACATCATTGCCAAAAACAAAAACAATGCACGTGCCTTGTTTGCTACCGTCGACAGACTAACTAACCCCCCAGTGTCAGTATCCCCCCCATTCAGAAAATCAGACAAGCAGTCAGTGCCTCTGCATCAGGTACAGCAAATGTGTTGTCCCTGTGTCCACCTAAAATCAATACAAACACCATGACACAGTTCCATCAGATTAATTATAAACACCTAGAGGACATTATTCAACTTCTGAAATCCTCCTCCTGCTGCCTTGATATTATTCCAACAGGGTTTTTCCAAGATGTTTTTCCTTGCATGGCCTCAGATCTACTTCACATAGTAAACAAGTCTCTTCACTCAGGTGTTTTTCCACAGGCTCTGAAAACTGCAGTCATTAAACCGCTCTTAAAAAAGAATAATCTAGATGCTTCAGTAATGAACAATTACAGGCCCATATCAAACCTCCCATTTCTAGGTAAAATCATTGAAAAAGTAGTTGTTCAACAGTTGAGTAATTTCTTGCATTTAAATAACTGTTTGGATGTGTTCCAGTCAGGCTTTCGACCAAATCACAGCACTGAGACTGCTCTTGTAAAGGTCTTCAATGACATCCACTTATGGCGCATTTCCACTGCAGGGCCTCGTACGGTATAGTTAGGCCTTGGTAGGCCAGGCTCACTTTATGCTGCGTTTCCAATACAGTTTAGGAACTGGGGCAGTAACTATAGTAACGCAGTGTAGGCGGAGCCGTGACGTCATCTTCAATGTGTGTCACTACCCGATTTGCAGGCCTGCACTATCTGCAGTGCGCATGTGCGAGATGGTCCGCCATATTTGACAACTCCATATGGCAACTCTAATAGGACATTTGACACAGTGGCGTTTGGCAAAGCAGAAAAAGAACACTCAAAAAACCCGACAATATTAATCTGAACGAGAGAGATTAATTATTGTTATTACAACGTGACTTCACTATTATTGAGAAACTCCTTTTATTGGGTCATTTTATTGGGTTAAGTACATTGTCAGAATAAGTGAGAAATGGAAGTAACTTCTGTTAGACAGCTATCATACATACTGGAGAAATATTGACTGTGAATATATGCAATATGTATGGCATTCATAATTTATATCTAATTACATTAACTGTGAATGTCCTTCATTTTATTTCAAATAAAATAACAAAATATTTTAATAAAGATATTTGAGACTAGATTTGGCCTAAAAATAAAATCGCGATTTTTTTCTAACTAATGGGCAATTTTCGATTTAAACCTTGATTTTTTCTGTTTTTTTCTAAACAAACCAGACCAAGGCAACATTTAAATACATATTTTCTTTATTAACACAATACAAATAAATGAGATTACCAAGTAGTCTAGGCCTATGTGAACAAATCAGTTGTTCAAGAATAAAAATAATAAAATAAAAACAGCACCACGGCACTTGGCTGTCATTAATGTGCAAAGATTTTTTTTAAATCAAACTGAAAAAAAAATCTCTTTTAGGCCATCCCTGAAAAAACTTGTAAAATGAAATACAACAAATAATAAATAATGATAATGAAATGAATAATAAAAAAATAAAAAATACCCTCAAACAAAATAACATCCCTTTAACTTTCTAGGAAGTTGTCTACAGGTTTTTCGCGAGGAAGACAAGCCTGTCTACTGCCTCTGGCTTGAGGCATGCTCTTTGGCATGTTACAATGTTACCCCCCGTACTGAAAACCCTCTCTGAAGGGGCACTTGTGGCAGGAATGGAGAGATATTTCTTGGCCAGATTACTCAGTCTTGGGAAGTTAGCTTCATGTAGCTTCCACCACTGCAGTGGGTCTGTATCAGGGTCTGTCTCAGACGACAACAAATAGGATGACAGCTCAGCTTCAATTTTGTCCTGCTCTGACTGGGAGGTAGACGACACTGTCAGTAGTGATGTGTGGGTCGCGAACAGCTGCAGCTCACAGAATCAGCCCTCTGCAAAAACAGCGCTGGAAAAAGCAAATGGAGCGAAATGAGGCATGGCTAAAATGCAAGATATTTTTGGTATTTTGAAAAAAAAAAAATATTGATATACTTTATATAGGTCGATACAGTAGCCCCTTTTTTTAAAAATAGTTTGTTTAGGTGTTGCTATCTGTTTTGTGTAGCGTGGTTCTACAAGCAAGTCAATGCATTCATTGGGTGGTATCAGAGATTTACACGGGTCTTTAAATGCAATGAAAACAATTGGCCACAGCAAATCATTTATATTAAACTTTATTTACTTTTGAATACTTCAGTACAAAGGATGTATTGAATAATTTAAGTGATATATGTGTATACAGAGCTGCAGATCGGGTAGTCACAGGCAATGTGTCTGAGTTTTGTGCGCGTTCTGGAAAGTGAGAGAGTAAGCTACTACGGAGTCCCTTAAAGCAAAACAAATCTGCGGAGTCTAGAAATGTTTTTAAATCGCGATTTTTCGGTTCAGCCATTTCACAAACCGTAGGAAAGTAAAAATGCAAATTAATCGTTAAAACCGAAAAAATCGCCCAGCCCTATTTGAGACGTTTATCACTCGCGCATGCACGATGCAAATCGGGCAGCCGTCTAGACGTCAAATGTCCTATTAGAGTTGCCGTATGGAGTTGTCAAATATGGCGGCCCTTCTCGCACATGCGCACTGCAGATAGGGCAGGGCTGCAGATCGGGTAGTGACAATGTGAACCACAAAACCAACATCAGCCGTTAGCTGTTAGCCCTCAGAGCTCACAGCTCCTCATATCTGTTCAGAAACTAGACAGAAGTTAAACAAGTACAAACCACAGACTGTCTGTGTCATGGCGAATACAGTCGCTGGTTTATTTATGTCTGTATAGGGCGTTCCGAGCTGAATAAGGGCGTCAAATGAAGGCAAGATGCCCGCCTGGCGGAAACGCTGGAATTAGGAATATATTGTGATGAAGTGCACACTGACCTGAGCTCCAGGGGTCTCTTTCTTCTCCTCCATGCTGCTCATCAGCTGTCCTGATGAAGACCACAGAGCTGCTTCATTATTAATATAATACAAATATTTAGATATAATTCATCATAATCTGTGTAGCAACTTACATTCTAACTTACAGCTCACAGTTTGTTCACTTTTATTTCATTAAAATGACTTTATTCACATAGAAAGTGACATTAATGGTTGTTTGAACCATGGTTATAACGCTATCCGTGTCATTAACTATCACTAAGTTAACACAGAAAGCAAAGATTAGCTAGTGAGACTGTTTAATGTACTCCATGTATACAGTATTTTCTGTATATTGTGTATTCTTTATCTCACTCGCACCATTTCCGTGTCAGACCCATAGACTGTATATATAAATGGACGTAGTGTCCGTGACGTCACCCATAGGATTCTGCAGAGTTGCCGTGAAGCCCTTAATAGGCGGAGTCGGCCACTAACGGCTCGACTGTGACGTCAGAGTCTAATCCCGCCTTCTCCAAATAAGGGCAAAGAGGCGGAGCCGAGGCGGGACCTGCTACCTCCGAACTGGAAGTAAACAGAGCTAGCTCAGGCTAAGAAGCTAAGCTAACATGAAATACATGCATACCAAGTTATTGCTAACAGTGTAGTTCCCCTATATAAACGTTACATTCATAATCAAATGAGACAATCTGCAAGAGAATTAGCTATATTTTGTTATTCTTAATGCTTGTCATTCATACGTTGAGAAAAGACGGACTCCACCGCCCGGACCTAACGGAGCCGCAGTGGGCTAGCTCCGGGACGCCGGCTGGAGCTAGCCCCCTGCGGCTCCGTTAGCTCCGGCGGCCACCACTGGGATAATTGGGTCCCCTATTAACATTTGCTCCCGTTTAGCATTATGGTCGTCATAGCCATAGACTATAAAAGTCTTAGCCAAGGCTGAATCATAAACTAAAATGTATATGTATGCATAAAGGGTTACATCCTTAGCTGGCTAATAAGTAACAAGCTAAGCTACCAAGCACACAAACACCTGCGAACGGGGTTAACATACAATATTATCATTTTAGACTTCTTGGAAGTTCTGTTAGTACATTCAAGCGCACAGCACGACATTTGAATTGTCTGGTATTTGTAACAATATTCCCTAAAAGGCACAATCACCACGAACACGGCTAAAGCTAAAGGGTCAAGTACATTACTATGACTAACTAACGTTGTAGCCTCTATGTTGGTAGCCTAGCAGAGTGGACAAGTTGCTGTTAGCTGACAGTGAGGCATGTACGTGTCCATCAAAGTGACCACGCCCTAATTTATGCAAAAACTTTAAGACCTAATATAAATAAAAGGGTTGTGTTAGAAAACAATTCACTCACAGATTCATAATCATGAAGGTGGAATCTAACTATATCGATAATAATATGTATTGAATCCATGGGTAGAAACATGTTTTTTTCTGCTGTAAAGTTGGACATTTTAAAATGGGGGTCTATGGAAATTGCTCCTTTCTGCAGCCAGTCCCTAGCGGCCCATGTATGAACTGCAGTGTGTGGCACTTCCGTATTGGCGTCCCGGCTGTTCCCCAGAGTTTGCAGCTTGGGCTGCTTCTCAGGTCGATTAAATGAAATCCTTGCTTCCCTCACTTGCGTTGTTTCCCTGCCTCTAGTCCCTCCCACCAGGGAAGCATGGAGGGACGCAAGGAAACCACGAGAAGCAGGGAAATGAGTTTTAAGAGCAATGGGACGTCCTTTCCTCCGGAGGGTCACGTGAAGCGAGTTTGTGATGACGCCGCACAGCTGTTCGTCTGACAGCAGCTCTGTCCCCATTGTTTTCACAAACACCCCCGCCACACATTTACTGACACAAACATTTGTATCATCTGTTGTAGACCCCAATAAATAAAATAAGAACTCATTCTCAAAAAAGTAAACATAAACGCCATTCTTAAAATGTATAAACGAACAATAGTTTGATTAATAAGATTAGAGTGTACAATAGAAATAAAATAATTGAGAGAAGAAAAAGAGATATATTATCTATCAAAACCCAGTTAGATTAACATTCATTGGACTGCACACTTTGTTTGTTTGTGTGGATATGTAGCAAATTAACATTTTAAATAGCACTTAATGACTGACTGAATGGAAATGACAATAAATGAAAATGTAAAACGAAAAAAGCGATCATGAAAATGTTTCCAATAAATGAATAAAATGATTTTTGACCACTTTGTTGTTCAGATATATCACATATTTGTAACTAAATGATACATTAATTGAAACAAAACACGGTATAAACTGAGGAGTGACTCCCGTGAGGTTCATGTATTTTCTTCACTCCGCTGGGAAACTGCTCTCATGTCAAGAAGCATCAGATCAGTGCATGCGCTGCATCGTCCAATCAGTGAGCGATACACAGTAAGGGGGCGGGGCGAGTATCTGAGGATTTCATCGGAGGATGGTCTGGTGGTTCCTCGGTTATCGCTCCTCGATCCTCGGTCCTCCGGCAGAAATAAGAGCCATGGGACGGTACTCAAGATGGCGCAGGCAAATCAACTTCCGGTAAGACCGAGGAGCGAGGAAATGAAAATAGTCGACCTGAGAAGCAGCCTTGGTCAGAACACGTTATCCCCAAGATGGCGCGCATGGGGAAAGCTACGCTAATACGCACACACATTCATACACTCTTTTTAACATGTAAACAGCGCTACAAACATTCCACACATTTAGTGAGCCGTCACACTATATACGCGAACATTGTGGGGGGGGTTCATATGAGTTTTGCAGCTTTTACCAACCTGTAATGAGCAGGTGAGACAGGAGCAATGAGGACACGAGTTATTTGGTTTCCTTCCAGATTGTTTTTGAGGAAACACCGGAAGTCCGTCCCTCTAACCAGTCCCCGGAACACAAACGTTCCGCCACACTTCCAAATGCACTGCTCAACCCCGCCAACGAAATGAAAATAGACAGATGTACAAAACAAAGGCATATTCCAACTCCAAACAATAATAATTATTATATCAATGTGGTCACACATCCCAGGGGTGCCACATATACAGTATTTTCTGTATATTGTGTATTCTTTAGATACTCTAGTGATATGTGTCCTGTGTGTATACTTGCTGCTAATGCTTCTTGTTTATTATATCTTATTGCATCTTTTAAATATGTTTAACTCGTGTAATGCCTGAAAACACTTCTGTTGTGACACATTCATTTCCCAGTTTAAGAGAAATCATTATTTAAATAAAGTATATCTATTTATCTAATGAGCTATACCGTCGCTTAGCTTAGCGTTAGCTGCTAACTGAAGAACCCCATTAATTTCAATGGGAAAAATGCTACGTCACGGTGAATGGCGATGCTAATAAGCTTGTTAGCATATATTTAAAACCATATATATGGTAAAGAGCACCAACACAACAACTCAAACCGTCTTAAACACAACTGGTGTAATAAATAACTAACATAAAGTCAGCTGAGCATTACATATAAACTGTTACTCCCCAGAGCCGAACTGAAATAATAACTAGACTTTAGCCGTTAGACTTTAGCTGTTGGACGGTAGCTTTTAGACCAGGGGTCTCCAACCTTTCTTCATCAGAGCTTCTTTGAAAAAATGAAAGTGGCCAAGGGCTACTTCCATCACATCACTTACATTTATTCACATAGCACTCATCAGTTGAATTAAGCTATACTTGTGTACACGTACGAAATTGCAATACCTAAAGCTTATCACAAATCTTAACTTCACATCAAGGTCCAAGAAAACGAAAATGTCTCACATATTATTATGGCCCACATAGTAAGTACATCACTGAACATTCACATCAATGTCCTTAATAACCACCTTACAAGCATCTTATGCACGTGTAGCAGGATAGACTGTTCAGCCCTATCACCACACGGGGAAACCTTTATAAAGAGGGGTCAGTGTCGCTCTTGCTCCCTCTTGCTTTTTGGCACGAAGGCCACTTCCGGGTTCTGCTGACGTGCTTTCTCCGCTGGCACCGGTGAGTTTGCAGTGGCTGCCGTTTGTTGTACACCTAGCATGACAATTAGCTAAATACTAAATGTATCACTGGTTGTAGACCCTTGCAGGGATCCTGCAGCCCATGTCTGCTGCCGCTGTAAATGAAGCTCCCCTGCTGTGTGTTTGTCTGAACTTGGCCTGATAGGTAGACCTTCTGCTAGTATCATTCTTCCTGAATGTTCTTAACCTGGTATTGTTATCGTAACATCACCTTAAACTTAATGTCTGCTAGGCTCTGCGCTGGAAGCGTGATAAAGGACTCCTGTTTTGCCTCCACGACTGCTCTGAGTTTACGAGTGTCTTGCCTGCCTGACTGTTGCCTGGACGGCTGGTCTGCCCTCTTGGTATCTTGGTCTGTACCAGCCTCTTGGTATCACTGTGCCTTTGCTCTTCATTACAGGGCCATATTTTAAACATTGTTATCACGGACTGTTCGATTAATCTCTGTTCATGATTAGTTATTTCATTGAGTTAAGTTTGTTTTGTTTATTTAATTACAGATTAAGTAGACTGTTGGGTTGATTTTCGTTTCTTTGGTTTAGTTTTCGACCCTGTTGCTTTAAATTTGTTTATTTCAGTTAATATCAGTTACTTGAAATCAGTATTTTGTAGTATTCTTGACTTTTTATTGTCTTATACTTATCTTATGTGTTGGTCTGTGTATTAATTTGTGTTTACTGTTTATCCCAGTAATTGTTTATTGTTTGCCCCTCTTAGTTGCTGAGAGCCAAAGGTGTGGTGCTGGTGTCCCCGGTGGTGGCTTCCCCCTTTGTGTGTCGTGCTGTGCTCCCCCTGATTTGTGTTCCTTCGTGTGAGTGTGTAGTGATCACGGGTGCCTTAATTTACTTTGCTGGGATCCCTCTCACCCCTCGTCACCTCCATCCACTGGTAAGCCTCAGCATCCCTGAATTAAGAGTCCCCCCCCTTTATTTTCAGTGTGTATAATGATCTTATGGTGTTTTTAATGATATTTTAATGCCAGAAATAAAACATTTGATAAATTAGAACCACGTCTCCTGCCCCTCAGTATCACGAACCTGAGTGCCTTGTTGGTACTTGGAATAATTATTTCCTTGGGTGCAATTCCCAAGGTGGCGTTGTCTGGCTTTTAGTTGAATAGGATTTCCAACAAACACCCCCCACGTATCAAATAAGTGCATTCACTCTTTTTTTACAGTTAGTCAGATGAATGGCACTGCATGGAGTATGGACTTAAGTATACAAATATGCTACGGATGGACGTTATGTTTTGTTAAAATGACTGTTGATTGATGTATTATTATTGGTAATTGCTATGTAATAAACAATTAGGGGCTGGTATGTTAGAGCCATTTTTCCTTTTGTTATTATTGTCTGAATGTTAGGCTTAATAATAATATAAATTAGATTATACTGTAAATTATCGGCTATTTTTGTGAGTCACGTTATGGTTTAAAATGCATTCATTTAAGGCTCACTTATTATGTGTGATATGTGCGTCAGTATCACGTGCATGGCTATGCCTATATATGGTAGATTGATGGGACACAGCTGGGGGTGATAGACGGGGAAACGGAAAAGTCTTTTGACCGTGTTCTTTTTGTTACTTTGGAAAATGATACACTTTTTAGTGACTATGAAGCGAAGAAATGTGTCCTCCTGTATGTACCGTGTGGATCAAGGAACAAAGCTCATCTGATTCAACTACGATCTCCGCTGAATTGTTTGGAAACAAAGAGCGGCGCGTCAAAACCCACAACCCCGATAGAGGTGGCGATTAAATTGTAGACAAGGATCAAGACGCCACCACAACTTGCATTATCAGTTTTAACCTCAACACAATTTTCAAAGGATCTGATGAAAGAATGATACTGAAGAGGATCACCATCAAATGTGGGTATATTTCTCACTGGTAGGGAGGATGCTAAAATGTGCTGTACTAACATTGTAGTGATGTCAGTTTGGCGTTGCATGATATTCACAATGTCATTTTGAGTGTCATTATTGCACGTCATATTCAAGGAGGATGCTCGTCCTGTCTGTTGAGCATCATGAACCACCTGTGTTGGTGCTTGAGTGTATAGTGGTCTGAGGTCCATCTGTAACACTGCCATTTGTTTAGGCCTGACAGTTTGTGATGTGTCTTTAAACCTGATGGTCTGTGAGGTTTCCTTTGGTCTTACAGTGACAGCCTGGGCATTAGGGTGAAATTCATTTTGCATGTTATTTTTGTCATTTCTCTGTGGGACAAATTGATTAGCCTGAGGAATTGAGTTGCCTTGTACTCTGAGCCTTGTTCCTTTCCAGATAAGAGTTCATTCCATCCCTTTTGGAGCTGCATTTTGAGCTACTTTCCAGAACATTGATGTTGGCATTAGTTGCAGCTAGCTCGGTCTCCAGAGCAAACTGTTCCTTTTCTTTTCTTAGTTCCTCCTTTCCTTTTCTTAGTTCCTCCTCCTTGGCTTCCAACTGATGTTTCCTTTTTAAAGCCTTCATGCGCTCCACAATTGCTGCTTTATCAGCCTCTGCTTTTAGCCTGGCAGATGCGGTGGATGATGTTTTAGATACATTAGAGTGTGTTTTGTGTTGCCTTTCCTTTGGACCTGAAATGTTAGAGGCACTGTCCTCCGGATTGATATCATCAATAACAGCACTTTGTTTAGTTTGAGTCTCAACATCAGTTTCAACATCAGCATTGCTAACATCATTGTCATTTTCCACTTCATTGTCAACATTGTCATTTGACTCCACATGAGGGTGCCCAGCAGCAGACAACCAATCCTTTACAGACTCAGTGAAATTACAAAAGGTCATCATTGTTCCATTGAAATATGTATTTTGCCTTTTGACCTCCTCCTCGGGCAAATCCATATCTATGACAGACTCATGCATGTCCTTAGCGTCTTCATAACACTTGATGAAGTTGCACAAATGAGCTAGCACAGACTTCACATTGTCAGTAGATTTCATCCAGACACGTATTGGTTCAATGTATTTCTTGGCCTGCTTGATTTTTGCCGATCTCTTTTCTTGGCACGTTTCTATGTAAAACGCCTTTTGGGGTAAACTTGAGGCCCCGTTTTACAGAGGGCTCGGGCGGAGCAACATTCTCCACACTTGAAACATCTGAATCAACCACAGGCATTGTCTCGTTTGTCTCAACCGGCTGCTCCATATTGTCTGATTGAGTTCACACAGGCAATTATATTGACACTTCACGTCGGCGATTTATGAATAAATGTCTTTTCAAGTCCAACAACTCCCAATATTCATCAACATGTAGCGAAACAGTAATTCAGTCACTCCAAATAAGTTTGCTTTTTTCCAATCAAGCTGACAGATTATCCTTCACCAATGTTATGTTGTTGTGGAGTAGGTTTGTGCGGCGTCCATTTAAGCCGTGGGTGGTCCTCTGTTCTCCGATCGTGTCTTTAACAGGCAATTCAAAGTTTCACAAAGTCAATGAGCATTGTCTCAGATCTCCAGATCAAACGCTGATGCGCCGGCGTCCATGTCCTTTGTCCTTTGATCAGCATGATCATCTCCGTTTGAGCGTGGTGGTGATTCCAGTCCAAACGTCCATGCAGTGCAAAAAATCTAAATCTAAAACAATAAAAGTGTCCGCTTCAATAAGGGAGGTTTTTTACTTTATGTAGTGGCTATTTGACAACGACAATACAACTTCAAAAGGCCACTGAGGCACCAGGTATAGTGGATCTTACGCAGATCATGAGTCCATTGTCCAAACAAGGCATCAACGTTTTTGTGGTATTTATTAGCTTCACCTTGCGGGAACAATACAGCAAAAGGTGTTTAAATGTTTGCTCAGCCCTGATACTGGTAGAAAACCATAGACCTTCCCGGTGCCCACTGATTGCTGCTGTGCCCTGATCGACTTAAATAAACCCAGCTGTGTGCCCAAATTGACCCATCACCTTCAAAATAAAAGCATTTTAGCTGAAACACAACTTAACTTAAATAATATGGCTGTAAATTAATTAATTCTACAAAACAAAAAACAACTATTTCACATCATTAATCAGAATCTGCAAAGGAACTAAAATAAATGTAGTGGAGTAAAAA